GGACATGTTACAAATCTACTTAGATTACTCATTCAAAACAAAGAAAACTACAACAAGCTTGGATAGCTAAATCTGGCCCCACAAGGAAATTATTCTGTCATTTTAGTCAAAGGAAAGTCTTTTCTTCTATACTTCTTGATGGCAGTTTATTACATTTTACTTCCAAGTAACTTGCTTTCTTTTAGCAAGAAACATTATATACGGGGGTGAAAGTATTGCATTTAAGTTTTATTTCTCTTAAGTGCTGAAACATGGTTTATATACACATACTCACTTACAAATACCTGCCTAGGAGAACATAGGCTCCAGGGAGGGAGGTGAACCCTTGGAGATATACATCATAACAGATCTGGAGTCTGACCCTTGTGCCAATGAAAATGTGTATGACACATTGATTACCCACAGCAACTTAATTTTTCAAAGTAGTTGATGATGTCAGAAAATGAGGGAACTATCACCTAAAAATTACAGCTTGAAGACAAATGAAGCCAGAGCTAGCAAATGTCATTTACTGATCATTATGTCACTGCAAGGTATGCACTTTTTGTGACAGTGTAATATCAAATATAACAAGAGAAAACATGGGTTTCTACTTGTCTACCCTCTACTCTAAGAAAATTAACACCAAAGCTAAAGTAGCCTATCTGGTAATAAATGTTAACTGCAAGAGAAATTAACCCCAACCTCTCCTACCATTTTCCTACAGAAAAATATCATTTGCTACAAACAAAATAATCTTTTAGATATCATGAAACAGTTCCAAAAGGCCATTTTATTAAATTATGGTTGCTATAAAATAGATTCTTATTTGATATGATAGAAAACAAAACACTGTATTGTTTCATTAAAAATCTCTGCTCTTTTGGAGATTTTAAAGTCTGTGGTCAAAAGATTTCCTCTAATTTATAATTTCTAGAAAACTTTTAAATATAATGTCTGAAGAGTAATTTAAAAAAAAAAAGAGTGTACTTTAGTAGTTTAAATGATTTTAAGAGAATTTAGCCTGCACCTCCAATCATTTTCAAAATCTGGAGTGAATGCAAATTGAGAAATTAAAGTTAAATACCAAACCAAGAACAAAACCAAAAGTCAGATTAAACCTGGGCCTCTCAAGTCAGTTTGTTTTGAAATCAACAGTGACCATACAATTGGTATAACTGGGAAATGGTTGATTTTTGTTCTTGATTTTGTTTTCTCCCTAAGCTTAACTTGACCAAATTACTTTGGGTCAAAATATTCAAAGAATGACTAAAATAGACATTGAAGAATTTAAGAATATTTTGCCAGCCCCACATACTTCATCTTTAAAAAAAAAAAAAAAAAAAAAAAAAAAGATTTATTTTATATAAGAGCTGGGGCACAGGCCAGAGGCACGGGAGGGTGAAAGGATTCACCAGAGACAAAGTGGGGAGCAGAACAGGCAGACGACCGAAATACACTGCTGAGGGGAGCAGCGGGTGCAACAGGAGAGGTCTGCTGTGCTATGTGGGTATCTCCCTGGCTGGGTGGGAATTGAACCCGTGCTGCAGAGGCTGAGGATAGCATCACAGTGCTGCACCCAACCCGCTGCGCCACCCGGGAGGACCTACTTTATCTTTTTTAAAGAGTTTCAAGTAAACTGAATATGAAAGATTTAGTATAGACACTCAGTAAAGATAGCACATAACATTAACTTGCTTTTTGTTTCTTTATCCTTGCTGCTGAGCAATAACTAATGATTTTGTGATCTTAACAGATTAAGTGATCTAATACAGTTATGGTATATAATAAAAAAATAATACGAGTCTCTGGTTCCCATACCCTGTTTCTTTTTGGATCATAAATTCAGTACACACAATAAATAGGCTCTATACATACATACATACACATCCAAATAACTACATCTGGCCAATTTAAAGTGGAAAATAATAGCTTCCCAAATAGTTTAATAAGTAAATTTGAGAATAGATAACTTCTGTTTTTTAGGAAATATTAAACAAAAGTCAAGTTACAAAAGCATGTAAGTTGACTGGACTTTTCTTTTGCCTCCATGATGAAAAACTACATTTTATCTATGCATCTTGATCAATGACCCAGAAACCTGGTTTGTTTAAGGTCAAAGCTTAAAACACAGGAGGGTTTTCAAGTGTCCCATAGTACTGTTGTTTTACTCTGCATACCCAACACCCTTTCAGACAGTTTGAACATCTAGAGTCAAATACTTGAAGATTTTAAATTTCTGTTACAGGTATCAATTAGTGTTTTAATTAAAACCCTAAGTAACCTAAGCCCTGTCTATGAAAGGACAGATGACAGTTGGTCACAAAGGCTATTAATGAAAGGATCCATCTCCACAATTGGGATTAATTTTTCTAGGAGGGTGATTTGTTAAGAGGAACTCAAATATAAATATAGGAGGGTATACAGTTTGGAAGAAAAGCCTTTCAGGTGAGTTGGTATCTTCATCTCCCACCAACTACTATCATGTCAGAAAAAAAAAAAAATAAATAAATAAACGTCCTGGGCTTGGAAGAGTAAAAAGAAAGATTGACATGCCACTGTGAGTAGTGACATATGTTAGTTTCAGATTCAGTCTAGGCAAGCACGGTAAAAGTGATCTGGAGAAGCACTCCAAGTTAACTTCACATTATATCTAACTTAATTATCTGTCATTTCCCACAACATCCTGAATCTTTCTGCTTTCAAGTTTAAAAAATCTACTATTTTTTTTTATTGTACTAATAATACTCAAGTGCCCTGTTTAGAATAACTTCTATTTCTTAACTGACTAATAAGAGACCTGTAATGCCACCTTGGAGGGACGATAAAGTAAATTAAGGCTCAGTGGCCCCTGGTCCTGAGCATTCTGAGCATTCTGAGCTACCCAGTGTGGGTGAGGAGAAAAGAGGAAAGGAGAAAAGACATTACTCTGATGAGTGTATGCTGGAACAAGTCAAGGCAAATTAGAGCTTAATTTCCAAATCCACAAATGAGGCATGCTGGCCAGTTAAGCTTGCAGTCACCGCTGGAGAAGAAGACCCTCTAAGGATTTACAGAAAGCATCCTTTGATATGAAATCCAAATCTCCTGACAACCTAAAAGAACTTAGAAGCTGCAATAATAGTGATGGACACAAATAAACAAAAGCAAAAGCAATTAGCAAATACATTTGATTGAGAAGTTACAAATTTTTGATGAGCTGTTCAGCACTTAATTTAAGATACAGACAATCCCTAAATATAACTGATGAAAAGCAGTGGTAAAAGCCAAACTTAATGACACAGGTCTATGCCAAAGTGTCTGCCATATTGTACTCAAGGAAGACTTTCACTAAGCAAAACTTTAAAGAAAATTTAAAAGCAAAAATGTGCATCTCCTGTGTGATAATGCCATTTTCTATCCTTAAAAATAAAACTCTGGGGCCTCCCTGTGGGCGCAAGGGGTTGTCTCAGCACAATGAAGCCATTGCCAGCCACTGTGGCATGAGTTTGATCCCCAGCCAGAGGGCTAACCTACATATGGTGCAGCAGACCTCTCTGGTCTTGCCCGCTGCTCCCTTCAGTAGTTTATTTCAGTCTATCTGCCTGTTCTGCTTCCCACTCTATCTCTGGTGAATCTTCTTAATACCCTAACCTACACCCCAGCTCTTGTATGCATAAATAAATAAAATAAATCTTTAAAAAAATGAAACTTTGGCCATAGTGAAAAAGTAATTCTAGAGCTCTCAGGAACATTAAATAATGGCTCACATAAGAGTTCAATGGGGTGGACATAAATATTGTTGCTGACTTATTAGAGGTTTTTGGAAACTGAGTAAAAGATCATTTTAGAAATAAAAGTAAAGTCACATTTAGGACTCAAAGTACGACTTTTCCTGCCTTCTGGAAGAACTTTTATTTCTTGATTCAATATATTGATCATGGAAACATTATTTCCAAAGAAATCAAATGTGAAAATGTCATACCTGAAAGTCTAACAAAAGGCAAAACATTAATGCAATTTGAAGTTAAAAGTTAAAATAAAACAAAAGTAAATTTAGACACTGGAAATGGAAAAGTGGCCTTGAACTATTCAAGACATTCCCTGAACATAGCATTCCTTTGCTTACTCCTAATAGCTAGAGAAGTAAGCAGAGACTGTCCATACTTTTTAATCACTAGTTCGTGAAATGTTTCATTGTTCACCTGTAATGAAGAGCCAGATGATAGAATATTTTTCTTTTCCAAATTATTTCAGCTTAGATAAAAGCAAAGAAAAACTTTATGGGGCCCTTTTTCTAAAACTTGATGCCTAAGAGTTCTGGTTACTAGGATTATATTTGTGGTTGGAAAAGTATTCCATTCTAAAAAACAGTAACTTCAAAATCAACCAACCCTTACTTCTGAGAGTGCTTGGAAACCTAAGCTCCACACAGATCCCACCAAAGGACCAGAGCCACAGACCACAGTTAGGTCTACAAAGGGATCAAAGCTGTTTGCTATCACTTTGGTTAACAAAGATACTTCTCGATATTGTCCTAAAAGCAATAAAGAACTGTTTGATTTCATACTCTATTAGCTGAAGAGCTATAAAAAACAACCCAACTAGCAAAGAACATTTTCTTATAAATTCCAGTGATGTGGTGTTGTTATGTAGTCAGTATGTATGGCAGGTCATGTTTATGCCATTGCCATGGGTAGTCAGTGATCCACATATTTAAAAGCAGTACGTGATATAACTTCCATTTTACAAAATTAATAAAACAACATTATTTTTTGATTACAGAAATAGTTTCAAGGAATGAGCTCATGACTAAGACAAATACTGTGGTAAGAAAGAAAAAAACATGTATATACAGGAAGTTAAATGTGATACCATTTTAGATGATGGGAAGGTACATACTACAGTTTAAATTATACCAAGTGTATGATAATAAAGTTCAGACAGGTCATTACATCATATCCAAAACACCAATAACTAATTTATTAAAAGTGACACAACAGCTAGTAACATGTGTTTAACAACTACATTTGTTTTCTTACCCTGTATGTGGTACAATCGGACTCTATGGACAACATGTTCAAAAAAGCAAGTCACATCTGAAAAAAACTTCCCATGCTGCACTCTGACCAAGGGTGGTGTTGTGTAAATATAAGGCTGAAAAGAAAATGACATTTTTAAGAAAAATATGTGGACTTAACATTTTCAAAAAATATTATGGTCATTTCCAAAATATTAACTACACACACACACAGACGCACAAACACACACATATATTTGCAATTTTAAGTGAAAAGCAAGCTTACAAGATATTAGAATATGCACTCGCTATAAAAATGAAATGTCAGGTTTTTCATTAAACCAAAATTGCTGAAAATAGAAAATATAAATGTTCACAATTTGATTGACCCAGATAATCTACCAATATTCCTCCCAGGTATAAATATTTCTAATTAAAATCCTTTATATTGTCCAAATGTTATTTATTAGAAATAGCAATAGTTCCACAGCAGTGACATTTTCCCAGGCAAACATTTATTACATCCACAACCCCCTAATGTTTGGAGGTCATGGCAGATGTCCAAGCAGACCACAGGGAGTCATCTAAACAACATGAAGAAAGATTCAGAAACACAGCTTACTCAGAGTTAGGTTTAACTATGCAATAAAACATATTGTCCTCTTCCATGAAATAACAAGATGAATATTAAGCAAATTTACAAACTTGGAAAAAGGGATGGCGATCAATGGTTTAGTTTTCATTATTCAGAATCTAAATTCAAGAAAATATGGGAGTAAAAGGCATACCTTATGTGAAACAGAATGAATTTAAAGTATTTATTAAGAGTTAGCTTTGAATATTATACTGCTTAGAAAGCTCAATAGCAACATCAAGTACTACATTTGCAATGTGACTATTTAAGTAGCATCAGATTTTTCAGAACTGTGTAATTATCTTCCAAATTTACCTGTCTGGCTAGAGAAAAATATTCAAATGTTAATATAATTTTTTATGGTTTACAGTTATTGTACCTAACTACAACATAGCTAGAAAGTAATGGACGGGGGAATGGAACCTTTGACAGTGATTTCAGGGATTCTGCCTGATACACCCAGCAGTCTTTTCCCTGATATTCTTTTATTTTCCCTTTGTAAACATGTAATTATCTTTATCTTTCTATTTAAATTGAGAACAATTTGAATATAAAATAATTTAAAACAAATTAATTTACTATTGTTCATGCATAATATCCCATAGTATGGCTTCTTATTTTTTTTAAGTATAAAAGCAATTTAAAACAAAATGATAAAAGTAGTTAACTGAGAACACACTAATACAGTTTATTCTGAGAATTCAACATCTATTTGTAATACCATTATGATCTGTAGTTCATCTTTAAATTATCATCTAATTAAAAAAATGAACAAGAAAGTAGAGTCCTTAGTGCAGCCTATACACTTCCTTCACATCTATATTTTAATTTTGATTAGCAGGTTTTCTAAATTGTAGAACAAAGGTAACTTTTTCAGAAGGCAAATCACTAGACAACAATATTTGGAGAATCTTTAACATATTTTTACATGGGGAAAGCCTGTAAAAAAGCAAAGGAAATGCTGAAGGAAAAAAAATACAGAATTGACTACATAAATTTTTTTTTAAAGATTTATTTATTTATTTATACAAGCACTGGGTACGTCAGAAGTGTGGGAGGGTGAGAGAATTCACCAGAGCCAGAGCGGGGAGCAGAGCAGGCAGAAGGACCGAAGTACACTGCTGAGGAGAGCAGTGGGCGGCAGGAGAGGTCTGCGCGCCATGTGGGACCCTCCTCTGGTGGCCGGGGAGCAGTCGGGGATCGAACCAGAGCTGCAGAGGCTGTGGGCAGCTTCGCAACCCAGCGCTCAACCACTGCGCCACCGGGGAGGCCTGATGACTACATAAAATTTTAAAACTAAGAGAAAAATAATGAAAATAAGTGCCATATGGGGGGAAATTATGCAGTTTAGTAAAAAGAATTACTCTTATTATATTTACTCTCTTAGCAAATTTCAATTATACAATAATACGGAGTTGTCCATTATAGTCACCATGTTATACATTAGGTCCTCATGCATTATTCATCTTATAGCTAAAAGATTTTAAATACAATAGTGTATATTATAATTGTGTTTTCAAAGAACACACTATCAGATTGTGATCATAGTGATAAATAAAACATACACATGAAACAAAACTTGAAAATGAGTGAAAATGGATTATGCACAGAATAAATGTATAGTATTGACAGTAAGTTGTTTACAAGTTTGTGAAATAGTTACAAGTTTAGTGTTTTCTTCATTTTTTAAAATATGTTGGAATTTGCACAAATTACCTTTATAGTCAAGGATGAGAATTTTTTTTTTTTATTTAGTGCTAAAAGGTAAGGAGATTAATGGCCCAGTGGGCAATCTATTTTGCCATATAGTTAGATATTTTATACTTAATATATGCCATATTACCTACATATATAATGCCACAACAGCACTCTAACCCCAAATCAAATCTAGCTTTATGCTGGAGAGAACTTGTTCATTGCAGCATACTAGCTGAATTCAAACTCTGAAAATTATTTATTTCTCAATATTCAATTACAAAATGCAAAGTGTCAATAAGATACAACAGTGATACATTCCAACTCCTGAAAGATGACAAAATGAGACACACATTTTTTCCCCTCATTACTCTTTCCATATGTATAATTTCCACTGCTCAGTTCTCCAGCACTCACCTTGGCTTCACCATCAGGTAAGAAGAGGTAGGCACCACTTTTGTCTTTTTTACTTGTCGTTCCATACCATGAAAACTGCACTTTTACTTCATGTCGTTTACCATCTTCTTTACTTATTATTTCCTAAGGATAAAAAAAAATACATTTTAAGGCAATTCACTATTAAGGTATTAATTATATTATACCTGTCATATGCACACAATTAAAAAATTATCTCAGGATAGACTAAAAAATGCTAAAAATCAGCTTCTAATATTCACAATTCTTGGATGAATACTAAAAATTTTATACTTAGCTTTGGGATTGAAAACTTTTCACAACATGAACCAAAAAATCAGAATACACTTATCAGGCAAAAAGAGATATACAAATTAAAAGAGATAGGCCAGTACTTTCCAATTTTCTGTAGCAAAGGAGCCAGCATAATTTTATTTCTAATATACATGGACCAAAAGCTTTGTAAAATAGAGCAAAAGTGAACTACTGGAAAAATTAAAGTGATATACCAAATATGTACTCATATTTTTACTAGTAGATTCAATAGGCATAAATTTACTTTATTAAATTGCTTTCAAAGTTCCAAAAATACTTCTAAACAGTCACAACTTTATACTTTTCTTCTTATGCGCCAGTAATAAAGCAGCATAGACCATATTTGCTGGGGGGTAAGCAGTCACCTAATTTCCCAGAACTAATAAAAGAGATTAGCCCCCACATAGAAAAACCTCTGTGAACCCCAAACAGGTAGAAAAACATATCATGGTATATCATGTTACTTCCTCTCATCTCCTCTACACAAAAAGGGAAAATCTTAGAAGCAGTTAGGAACTATAAGACAATACTGTCAGGAATAGGTTATCAATACATAGATAAACTGTCAGTAAGATCACAGATTAACACATAAAAGCAGATCCATCCTTTTTCCCAGATTATCTGAAATAGTCCTACTTAAATAGACTTTTCTACCTTTATATAAGTAATCGGCACATATAACAAATGTGATAAACCTTCTATGAATTTCAGAATGGTTCAGAACATACCTCCATAAGCCCTGATTGAGCAAACCGAAGTTTAATAAAGGAGTTCTCTAGAGTTATATCTTCTTCAGCACTTTTTGAAGTTTTGATGTTGAAAATTCCTTTATCTTTTATGTCACCATTATACAGGCTATACTTAGCTAAATGTATGTTCGAATTTGCTAATTCCAAAATCCTATATACTTTCAGTCCCAATGGTGGCATTTGTGCTAGAAAAGAGATCTTTAAAAAATAGAAAAGAAAATTTATTAAAGAGACATGTAATCTACTGAAAGGAAAATCATTTAACTTCTAATAAAACAACAAATGACCATGTGTTTTAAAAAGAATACTAAAAATGTGTTTTGATAACATACGGGTTAGAGGACTCACATCTCAGTTTATCCAGGGGACCTAATAACTTCAAGTTAGGAGGGCCATCAAAGGCATTAATGTTTTCATTTGATATATGAATTATCTTAATAGGTGCTCTTAATGGATGCTCAGAGTAGGAAATTCTCCATGAAGATACATGAAGATAAGGGCTTACTATGCATAGTAATTTTTCATAACTATTAGGACTCTTTTTATAATACTGTGATATTTCAGTACATTAAAAATTAAAGTGATAAATGGACTAACATTAAGCATTTTAGTCTAGTCACCACCAGTCACTGAATGCCTGGGGTTTAGCAGACAATGACAAGGCACAGAGAGGATGCGCACACTGGAAACTCAATCTGTCTTCCAGTAAATATTTTTACGTGAATTCTATCCCTAAAACTTGACCAAAGCTTTTCCTTTCTACGTAAAAGATTATGACTTTATGAAAGCATTTAACAGTGGCTCTTAACAAGCAGAAGAAATTCTGTTGTAGAGTTTATAGCTTATGGCTAAAACTTCAGAAGTGGTTTAATTATTTTTTTTATTTAAGTTTTGAACAATATATGATTTCTCTCTGTAGGTGTGGTCACCATAGTTTTCAGAAGTAGTTTAAATTACATTCCAGACTTTAAAAGCTCAACCTTTCTAGTAGCCTGAGAGTTTGGTCTAATACTGCTTATTTTAGGATATTTTCCCCCAAAGTATCCAATACTTGAGTTCAGAATCTCCATTATTATGTTTCAGAAAGGAAGACTATTACTTATTTTTAAGAAATCTTTTTTTTCTGGTATGTTATATAAAGTTGAAAGTATTCAAAGTTATTTAAAAGGGTGGTATTATTTTAATTTAAATGTGCATAACTGTCATGAAAGTTTGACCCAAAAAATTCAAAATTTCATGAGTAATGATCATAATTCAATTCAGGAAAAGGTTACAATATAAATACAATGACATACAACATAATTATTAATAACTTGTGCTAATAATAATACAGCATAACAGGGCCTCCCTGGTGGTGCAGCAGTTGAGCTCTGGGTTGCAAAGCTGCCCACAGCCTCTGCAGCGCTGGTTCGATCCCCGGCCACCGGTTGAGGGTCCCACGTGGCGCACAGACCTCTCCTGCTGCCCGCTGCATCCCTAAGCAGTGTACTTCGGTCCTTCTGCCTGTTCTGCTCCCTGCTCTGGCTCTGGTGAATTCTCTCACTCTCCCGTGCTTCTGACTGTACCCAGTGCTTGTATAAATAAATAAATAAATAAATAAATCTTTAAAAAAAAAGTTAAAAAAAAATAATACAGCATAGAAGGCTCCTGGAGGAGCCAGAGGTGAGCTGGGAAGTTCGCCCACACCAGGCCCCTTCAGGCCTGCAGTCCGAGCCCAGAGGGGGAGCGGGAACCCACCGCCAAGGCAGACCAGGCACGCAGAGGAGTGCGAACCCGCATCGCCATTTTAGAACAGAGACCTTTCTTCAGTAAAGCATGCTTGAAACCAGCAGATGGCTCCTGGAAGAGCCAGAGGTGAGCTGGGAAGTTCGCCCAAGATGCCGGCCAGTACCAGCAACACAGTGTCCCAATGCACACGGCAAATTAGAAAACAGACAGTAGGGAGTAGAAAAACCACACGCAACCCAGCAACTCCTCAGGAAATAAGCACACCACAAAAAGAAAACCACCCCCCAGATTGTAACGACAGTAACTTGGAAGAACTTCTGACCCTTCCAGAAAGAGAATTTAAAATTCTCATGAATTGGATTGGAAAAATAAACATTATTAAAATGGCCATCCTACCAAAAGCAATATACAGATTCAATGCTATTCCAATCAAAATTTCAATGTCATTCTTCAAAGAAATAGAACAATTATTGATGAAATTCATATGGGATCACCAAAAACCCTGAATACCAAAGCTCTCCTGAAAAAAAAAAAGAAGGGAATGGAGGCATCACACTCCCAGACTTCAAACTATACTACAAAGCCATAATCATCAAAACTGCATGGTATTGGAACAAGAACAGACACACAGACCAATGGAATTGAGTAGAAAATCCAGAAATAAACCCACAGATTTATGGTCAACTAATCTTTAACAAAGGAGCAAAGACTATGCATTGGAGCAAAGAAAGTTTGTTCAATAAATGGTGCTGGGAAAACTGGCTCGCTACATGCAAAAGAATGAAGCTTGACTACCATCTCACACCATACACAAAAACCAACTCAAAATGGATTAAAGAACTAGACATAAGACCTGAAACTATAAAATACATAGAAGGAAATACAGGTTGAAACACTACATGATATACACATCAAAGACATATTTACAGACACATCACCCAAAGCAGTGATAGTGAAGGCAAAGATAAACAGCTGGGACTACATCAAATTAAAGAGCTTCTGCACAGCAAAAGAGACAATAATAAAAACAAAGAGAAACCCCACCAACTGGGAGAACATTTTTGCACACAACACTAATGATAAAGGACTGATCACAAAAATCTGCAAAGAGCTGATGAGACGCAACAACAACAAAGAAAATAATCCTGTCAAAAAATGGGCAGAAGAGCTAAAAAGAAACTTCTCTGAAGAGGAAATGCAAATGGCCAACAGGCATATGAAAAAATGTTCAACACCAATTGTAATCAGGGAAATGCAAATCAAAACTACCAGGAGATACCATCTTACACCAGTGAGAATGTCACATATTAAAAAAACTAGCAACAACAAATGTTGGCAAGGTTGTGGAGAAAAAGGAACTCTCCTGCACTGCTGGTGGGAGTGCAAACTGGTCCAACCACTATGGAGAGCTCTGTGGAGATTTCTGGACCTACTAAACATAGAGCTTCCATATGATCCAGCAATTCCACTCCTAGGGATTTACCCAAAGGACACAGAAACATCAATTCCAAAGAGCACCTGCACCCCTATGTTTATAGCAGCAGTGTTTACAATAGCTAAGCTTTGGAAACAACCCAAATGCCCAAAAATAAATGACTGGATCAAGAAGATGTGGCACATATACACCATGGAATATTACTCAGCATTCAAAAAAGATAAACACATGCAATTTGCAGCAACATGGATGGCGCTGGAAGGGATCATGCTCAGCGAAATAAGCCAGAAAGAAAAAGAAAAATACCAGATGGTATTTTTCTCACTCATAGCAGGAATCTAGAAAACTTAAATAAGGGACCAGGAAAAAGAATAACTATAAGAAAGTAAAAATCAAAATCAACAAACAACTATGAACCAGAGACACTCTATGTGGGTTGGGGGGTGGGGAGGGGAAGGATTGGGGTCAAAATAAGGGGGTCACAATTGTATGAGGAATATAAAAATAAAAAAAATTATATAAAAAATATATAAAAATATAGCATAACATATGTAATAAAATTAATATACTGGAAAAGAGGAGCAATTTTCCTTCATTTTGGCCAGCTAAACCTTTTGATATTTACAACTTTAAGCACTTCACATACACTCTAGCTCAAGGGGCATGCATTTTCATTAAACTATCAATATTTATTGGTTATACTTCTATCATGATGCCTCTTTAAGTTCTATGGTGACAACATACCTCGTAGGTTGTCTGTGAAATAGTGCTCGTTGCTTCCCACACTGCACTAACTTGAATGTCCACAGGCTTTCCAGAAGCAGAAGACACTTGTACTATGGGTGAACTCACGAAGACAGAGACCACTGTATTTCGCTCTTGATCTGAAGGATTAAAGACCACAAGATTCCTGCAAAAAAGAGCTGCTTTACTAGTGGAGCCTGAAAATATTGTTCCTTACTTCACACTTTCATTAAGACCTCAGTTCTCGAGCCAAAACACAGAGAATTGTAAGGAATATTCTGGTAAAACCTTTGAAGAAAGGGCAATTTAAACACAACAAAATCACACAGAGCAAAAGGTTATGAGATGATTCACTTTCTAAGAAAAAAATGTTATACAAATGGAGGATATTAATAGAATTGTGATAATTTATTTCCATATCCCAGAAAATTTAAGATTGTCTGAATCAGCTCTATATAAACTAGTATTCCAATCACTGCCTAATCTCGCTGAATAAGAAAATATATAAATGTCCTGCTTGCAATTTTGCTATTAATTTTAATTAAATTCCTGACATTCATTTTAGATCACTCACAATAAAAATGTAAGGCTACACATGCAAAATCACATAATTCACACATGGATTATGTATGTGTATATACATACATATATATATATATACACACACACATATACACACGTATATCTTACATGTATTTATTCTCAAAGAGAGGTGGTTCTGGAAAAAAAAATTAAAATTAGGGCTAAAACTTTAATAAATAGTTGCTGAAGAAAATATTTGACTTGACAGCTAGGAAAAGGAAAACAAACTGCTAATGTAAGTCAGGGGAATATTTGCAATTATGCGCAATGCTCAATAAATGAATGAACTGGGAATTCTGGCAGAATTGTTCCAGAATTTTTTTCAAAAAATATTTTATATTAGTACATTCTAACATCCTTCATGTAACACATTTTTTTACAAGATGGCTTTAAACAACTATTTTTATATACATAGTTCACAGCATAACTCTTTGAGGAATTAATCACTTTTCCTGATGATCTGTGCTCACAAATCTTTGATATTTAAATAATTATCAGTTGAAGAATCTTTCAACAGCATAACTCTGCCAAATTCTCCTTGTTTCATGACTTTGCCTATAGTAGAAACATTTTAACCATGATGTCACAGACTTCATGAAATCCACAGGCTTTACAAATTTGTGATTTTACTTTATAATCAATTTGTATCATATCACCTTCAAATAAATCAAGGGGTATTTCAAAGAGGATGTCTGACAAACAATATAACTCAGATTCACTAGTGGATCTTTTCATGCTCTAGAATATGTTTTTTTCCTATACAATTTTGTGACTGCAGGACATAGAAGTGAATAGTCAGATAGCAACTGCTTCCCAGTGGTTTACAGTCACTAGGTGTATCAGAACTGGTAGAAGCAAATTCGCACTGCTTATTTCAAACATCAAAAAGTCGAACAGTGCTGTTTTATCCACATATATGTACTATATATTTCAAGTTTATTACAAACCTTCCATTGAAAAATTAAATTAATGCCTACAGTTGCCAAACTTAAGTGAAGATTGTTTATTGGGAGAAGCACTTGTGATTGAAACAGTATTCTCATAAAACAATGGTGATAATACGACAGTGTCTTCAATTTCTATTAGGTTTATAGTATGCAACTGAATCACAGAACCTAATTCATATCAGTTATGTTCTTTGATTATATTAGCATATGTACATGAAAGATGAAAGCAAGTAGAATCTAACAAATGCAGAGCAAACTGTATCCAACAATGTATTAAAAGGATTATACATACGACCAAGCAGATTTATTCCAGAGACACAAGGAAGGTTCAACATCCAAAAATCAACTAATGTAATTCAACATATAAGCAAAAAGAAAAATAAAAACCATATGAGCATATCAATAGACACTGTGGAAGCATTTGATAAGGTTCAACATCCATTTATGATAAAGGCCCTCACAGTACTCAGGATAAAAGGAACGCATTTTAAAATAAAAGCCATGTGACAACATCATTATTTTTTTAAAGATTTATTTATTTATACAAGAACCAGGGTACAGGACAGATGCACCGGAGAGTGAGAGGATTCACCAGAGACAGAGTGGGGAACAGAACAGGCAGACTGATGAAAGACACTGCTGAGGGGAGCAGTGGGCAAGACAGGAGAGGTCTGCGCAACTTGTGGGATTCTCGCTGCGGGGATCAAACCCGCATTGCAGAAGCTGAGACAGCTTCACAGTGCAGTGCTCAACTGCCAGCGCCACCAGGGAGGCCTGAACATCATTCCTTTTTATATATATATATATTTTTTAATAGAGGTATGTTTTATTTATTTGTTTGTTTGTTTATACATGCACTGGGTACAGTTAGAAGCGTGGGAGGGTGAGAGAATTCACCAGAGCCAGAGCGGGGAGCAGAGCAGGCAGAAGGACAGAAGTACACTGCTGAGGGCAGCAGCGGCAGCAGGAGAGGTCTGCGCGCCATGTGGGATCCTCCTCCGGGGGCCTGGGAGCAGCCGGGTATTGAACCGGTGCCGCAGAGGCTGTGGGCAGCTTCGCAACCCAGCGCTCAACCACTGCGCCACCGGGGAGGCCCCTGAACATCATTCTTAATGATGAAAAACTGAAAGGCTTCCATTTCAGATGTGAAACCAGACAAGGATGTTCATTCTCACCACTGCTTTTCAATACAATACAAAACATCCTTGCTACAGAACTAGGCAAGAAACAGAGATATAAGGAATCCAAACAGGAGGGTATAAGTACCTTTATTTATAGATAATATAATAAGTGAACCCTAAGAAATCTATGAAAAAATTAAAACAATAAACCAGTTTAGTAAAGTAGCAGGTTACAAAATGAATACACAAAAATAAGTAAGCTTATATGCAAAAATCGGTCTGAAGGGGAAGAAATTAAGAAAATATCCCATATACAATTGAAACAACAACAACAACAAAACACCTGACACCTGGAAATAAATCTAACAAAGGAGGCGAAAGACTTATACAAGGAAAATTACAAATCACTGTTACAAGAAATAGAAGACATAAAGAAATAGAAAGATACTTCTTGCTCATGGACTGAATTTCAAATTCAATGCAATTTCAATAAAAATCTCAATTGCATTCTTCAAAGAAATGGAACAAATATTGCTTAAACTCATTCATATGGAATCAGAAATAACCTCGAAAAGCAAAAGCTCTCCTGACTAAAAGGGAAGAACAGAGGTATTATACTCCCAGACTTCAAACTATACTACAAAACCATAATAATAAAAACAGCATGGTACTCGAACAAAAACAGACACATAGACCAACGGAATCAAATTGAACACCCAGAAATAAAGTCACACATATATAGTCAAACAATCTATGACAGAGGAGCAAAGATTATATATTGTAACAAAGCAAGCCCTTCAATAAATGGTACTGAGAAAATTGGACTGGCACATGAAAAAGAATGAAATTAGATTACTATCTCACACCATACACAAAATAGATAAGACTTGAATGTAAGACCAGAAACCATAAAACATAAAGAAGAAAACAAAAGCAAACACTCTGTTATATATACTTCAGAAACATTTCATCTCCAGAAGCAAGGGATACAAAGGAGAAGAAAACAACTGGCACTACATTAAACTAAAAAGCTTGTGTACAGAAAAAGAGGCAGTATCCAAAACAAAGAGGCATCCTATGGAATGGGAGAAAATATTTGCACACCATACAACTGAAAAGGGATTGATATCAAAGACATGAAAGCTTTCACAATTCAACAAAACAAAGCAAATAACCCAGTCAAAAAATTGGGTAGAATAGGGCCTCCCCTGTGGCGCAGCAGTTGAACACTGGGTTGTGAAGCTGCCTGCAGCCTTTGCAGCTCCAAAACGATCCCCGGCCGCTGGCGAGGGTCCCACATGGCCCACAGACCTCTCCTGCTGCCCACTGCTCCCCTCAGCAGTGTACTTCGTCACTCTGCCTGTTCTGCTCCCTGCTCTGACTCTGGTGAATTCTCTCAACCGCCCGTGCTTCTGACTGTACCCACTGCTTATATAAATAAATAAAAATCTTAAAAAAAAATTAAAAAAAATTGGGTAGAATAGCCAAAAAAGATACTTCTCCAAAGAAGAAATGAAAATGCCCAAAAGGCATATTAAAAAATGTTCATCATCACTAATTATCAGGGAAATGCGCTTCAAAACGACAATCAGATACCACCTCACATGAGTGAGATGGCCCATATTAAAAAAAAAAAAAAAAACTGTAAACAACAAATGCTGGTAAGGATATGGAGAAAAAAGAACCCTCTTACAGTGCTGCTGGGAATGCAAACTGGCCCAGCCACTATGGAAAGCTGTGTGGAGGACCTTCAAAACACTAAAAATGGACCTAAGTTATGATCCAGTGATTCCACTCCTAGGACTGTACCCAAAGAACAAAAAATAAAATAAAAAACACTAATATGAAAGGAAACCTGAATTCCTATGTTTATTGTAGCACTATTTATAATAGTCAACATATGGAAACAACACAAATGCCCCAAAACAGATGACTGGATCAAGAAGGTATGGTATAGGACCTCCCCTGGTGGCGCAGCGGTTGAGCGCTGGGCTGCGAAGCTGCCCGCAGCCTCTGCAGCACCGGATCAATCCTCGGCCACCGGTGAGGGTCCCACATGGCGCGCAGACCTCTCTTGCCACGCCCACTGCTCCCCTCAGCAGTGTATTTCGTCCGTCTGCCTGTTCTGTTCCCCACTCTGGCTCTGGTGAATCCTCTCACCCTCCCATGCTTCTGACTGTACCCACTGCTTGTATAAATAAAATAAATCAATCTTTAAAAATAAGAAGGTATGGTACATATACATGAAGGTTTCCCTTTCAGATGTGATCACTACTCAGTGATCAAAAAAGATAAACTCATGCCATATGCAGCAACACAGATGGAGCTGGAAATAAGAGAAATAAGTCAGAAGGAAAAAAATATGAAATGGTTTCATTTATAGGTGGAACATAGGAAAACTGAACAAAGGGTCAGGAAAAAGACAAAACTTGCAAGCTGAATATAGATTTGAGGCAAACAGCAAGAAAGGGGAGTGGAGAAGGGTCAAAAGAAGAGAGGGAAGAGCACAAGGGACA